AGAGAGAGAGAGAGAGAGAGAGAGAGAGAGAGAGAGAGAGAGAGGCCTGGGGTGGGGTTCAAGAATCTGCATTCCTAACAAGTTGCCCAAAATTAGTGACGCTACTGGTAGCCTGAACCACCCTTTAAGAGGAAGCAGCGCAAAAGAAGGATCATGGGAGACTGAGAATCAGAAAACTTTCTGCAGTTGTCATTTTGTATTATGAACATTACCCCTTTTGGAACCTTGGTTTCCTTATCTGTCAAACAGGAAACTAATTTTTCCTACTTCCAGGTTTCTGGGTTTTCTTTTAAGATCAAAAGAAGAAAATGGACACTAAAATGGTACAAAATTTAAAGGAGGCTGCCTCAGCCTCAGCACTACTGATAATTTTGGGACATATAATTCTGTGTTGCAGGAACTGTCCTGTGCATTGTAGGATGTTTAGCATCCCCCCTGGCCACCAGATACCAGCCAGCAGCACTGCCCCCTTATCCTCAGTTGTAACAACCAGAAATATCTCCAGACACTGCCCTATGTCCTCTGGAGGAAAAAAAAAAAATCACCCACGGTTGAGAATCACTGATTTAAAGTTAAGATTTTAATTCTTTATTCTGGAATATGTATTTTAAAAAAATCAAAGTACAATCGAGGTTACAAAAATAGAAATGCTTATCACTCACAGTGTCATAAACACATGGTGATGAGTTCCAATAAGTGGAAACCAAATGGATTCCACAGACCACAATCAGTAGAGTCTCCAGGCTGAGATCATGAAGGGCAACTACCATTTTCTTCTCTAATTGCTCATCTAAATTCAGAGCACATACTTTTATCACAGTTTGTAATGTAATTACTTGTGTGCCTGCCTTATTCTCTCCACTACCAGGCTGTAAGCACTTTCTGAGATGGAAGCTTAACATATTCAGCTGTATTGTCTAGAGTAACAGTTCCAGATTTTGACTTCAAGACATATAAGTTTAAGGGGGGGGGGCAGGTGGTCCAACATAAAACTACATTTTTATCTTGCCAACTAAGAACACTAACAAAACCACAATATAATATCCCTCATTCCAAAAAAGGGAACTTTTTAAATATTGAAAAAGGAGACAAAGTCCTACTGCACAGCACGAGACTATATTCAATCTTACAGTAACCTATAATGAAGAAAAATGTTTGTGTATAACTGAATCACCACGCTGTACAAGAGATTAACACGCTGTTAATCGACTATACTTCAATTAAAAAAAAAAAAGGAAAACACCCCAAAAGGAAAAAGAACAACCATTTAGCTTCATGAAAAACTCACACTGTCTGTATTTCTTCTATAGTGAAAACATAGACTCCACAGACTGGCATTTAGGAATCATGATCCCTGGGTACCTAGCACAACACCTAAGACATAACTGGCACTTAAGAAATGTTTGTTGACTTTTTTTTAAAACTTTTTTTTTTTATTGAGTTAACAGTCATTTTACAATGTTGTGTCAAATTCCAGTGTAGAGCACAATTTTTCAGTTATACATGAACATACATGTATTGTCGCATTTTTTCGCTGTGAGCTACCACCAGATCTTGTATATGTTTCCCTGTGCTATACAGTATAATCTTGTTTACTTATCCTACATACGCCTGTCAGTATCTACAAATTTTGAACTCCTAGTCTGTCCCTTCCCAACCCCCTCCCCCCTGGCAACCACAAGTTTGTATTCTATGTCTATGAGTCTGCTTGTTTTGTATTTATGTGTGTTTTTTTTTTTAAGATTCCACATATGAGTGATCTCATTTGGTATTTTTCTTTCTCTTTCTGGCTTACTTCACTTAGAATGACATTCTCCAGGGACATCATGTTGCTGCAAATGGCATTATGTTGTCGGTTTTTATGGCTGAATAGTATTTGATTGTATAAATATACCACATCTTCTTTATCCAGTCCCCTATTGATGGACATTTAGGCTGTTTCCATGTTTTGGCTATTGTAAATAGTGCTGCTATGAACACTGGGGTGCAGGCGTCTTTTTGGAGTAGGGTTCCTTCTGGATATATGCCCAGGAGCGGGATTGCTGGGTCATATGGTAAGTCTATTCCTAGTCTTTTGAGGAATCTCCATACTGTTTTCCACAGTGGCTGCACCAAACTGCATTCCCACCAGCAGTGTAGGAGGGTTCCATTTTCTATACAGCCTCTCCAGCATTTGTCATTCATTTGTGGGTTTTTGAATGATGGCCATTCTGACTGGTGTGAGGTGATAACTCATTGTAGTTTTGATTTGCATTTCTCTGATAATTAGTGATACTGAGCATTTTTTCATGTGCCTATTGATCATTTGTATGTCTTCCTTGGAGAATTTCTTGTTTAGGTCTTCTGCCCATTTTTGGATTGGACTGTTTGTTTTTTTTAAGTCGTATGAGCTGCTTATATATTTTGGAGATCAAGCCTTTGTTGGTTTCATCTTTTGCAAAAATTTTCTCCCGTAGGTTATCACTTTGTTTTGCTTATGATTTCCTTTCTGTGCACAGGCTTGTAAGTTTAACTAGGTCCCATTTGTTTATTCTTGCTTTTATTTCTATTGCTTGGGTAGACTGCCCTAGGAGAACATTTTGAGATGTATGTCAGATAATGTTTTGCCTATGTTTTCTTCTAGGAGGTTTATTGTATCTTGTCTCATGTTTAAGTCTTTGATCCATTTTGAGTTTATTTTTGTATATGGTGTAAGGGAGTGTTCTAGCTTCATTGATTTACATGCTGCTGTCCAGTTTTCCCAACACCATTTGCTGAAGTGACTGTCTTTATTCCATTGTATATTCTTGCCTGCTTTGTCGAAGATTAGTTGATCAAAAGTTTGTGGGTTCACTTCTGGGCTCTCTATTCTGTTCCATTGGTCCATATGTCTGTTTTTGTACCAATACCATGCTGTCTTGATTACTATAGCTCTACAGTATTGTCTGAAGTCTGGGAGAGTTACTCCTCCAGCCTCTTTTTCTTCAGTAATGACATAATAGTAAGCAGTATACTGGCCTGGAACTGGTCAAATATGGTTATGACCTATATTCTAAACATTAATGGTTCATCAAATTCAAGCGAGTAAACAAAGACAATTTCAATTTTGTTTTTACCTGGTAGTCTCGTAGACCAACCAATATAATGTCTGAGGTATTTATCCAAACCTATAAGAGAAAAGTCACAGGCTATGTTTAAAAGAAAAATAAAGAATCAATCAAGAGCAATGTTGAGTCAGTCTTCCCATAAAATATACATATTATTCACCCAACTGTGGGTAAAGTACCTATATTAAGACTTAGAGGCAAAAAAAAAAAACTGTAGTAAGCAGCTAAGTGAGTTGCAAATTTTCTATAATTTGGGATATTAGAAAAATAACAATCTCATTCAACTACTTGACAGTTTAACAATTCCAAAGGAACAATGATTAGTTTAGAAATTAAGGAATTTTTAATAGTGAACCACTCCAAGTGGTTACTCACTCATTATAGATGAGAAAAGTAAATTAGGAATGTGGTTTTATCTCCCACCCACCCACCCACCCACAGGAAGCAAACCCCCTTTAGCTTGGTAACAGAAAGATTAGCAAAACAAATTAAAATATATATATATCATAAAATCAGGGTTGGAGGGACTTTTAACCAACCTGATCAATAAATCTGCCTGAACATCTACCATGAGGGGAAATCAACCATTACCTTTCAAGGCAGCCCATTCATGATCACAATTCAGGGAATTTAACATCAATACAACACTTATTTACCACAATTCATATTCAAATTTTCTTAATGCTCTTCACAGCTATTTCCCCCACCCTCAAACCAGAATCCAAACAAGGGCCACCTACCTCTTTTAACAATTAAGTCTCTTTAATCTTTTCTAAATTGAAACAGCCCACTCAGCTTTTTTCTCCTTTCATTAATACTAGCATTGTAGTAAGTTCAGCAGCTTGTTTTGTGGAGCGGCCCTCAGTTTGGATTTGTTGATTGTCTCCTCATTAGATTCAGGTTAATCATTTTGGCCAGGAATACAAGATAGGTGACGCAAATCACTCTTTAAATAGAATCTGTATAAAACTGCCATCAAAGATCTTGCTGTTTTGACGTAGAGGTAAATCACTGTTCTATAAATATCTCTTGGGAACTTACAAAAATGAGGTCCTTGGCCCATAAAAATCTTAAGAGCCCTTTTCTCCCTCAATCACAAGTTTATATTAAAGTAAAACAAGTCACCAAACCTACCTTTTTTCTCAATTTCCCTCTGATGTGACATAACCTCTTTACACCATCAAAACACATCGCTTCTAATCGTCCATTTCCCAGCATTTTGATTACTTGCGCGTACTCTGGGGGAGGGAAAAGGGTACAGGATATTGCTCAATTTTTGATAAAAGCAACTCAAAAGTCCACATAAAACTGACTAGAATACATAGGTGTGTTGGTTGGGAATATGTATATGCAGTGAAATAAGTACGAGGGAGTGATAAACACCAAGCTAGTTAACTTGCAAACTAGAACCAAGAATGTGGAATGCCACTTCCAGGACAAGCTGTCTCTGCTATCAGAAATGTTTCAATTACCTACTCATCTTGAGTTAAGCAGACTGACTACTGTCCTCCTGACTGTATACTCTACTTCTAGAGATCAAGGTGCCTGGTCCCAAAATGTACACTACCCCTCACCAGTCTCCCGCTTTGGATCCTCGCCCAATTTTAGATCTCCTTTCCCTCAGAACCTTTAGAGGCTAATCTCAACACAATTTTTGGTATTTTGGCAAATATAAGCAACTCAAATGTTAATAATATTTTTGTTAAATTAGAATATCTTAGTGACTATCCTGAAGTTTTTATAAAGTCAGAAAGATATTCCCAGGCAAAATGCCGAACTTTTAATCAAAAACCATTCCAAAAGAGCAACCAAGAAGTCACCTGGTTTCACTGCCACTTGCAAAACTGAGGAGATTATGAGTACTATCTTGCACATGCGCCTGTCATTAAATGACAGAAGACGGGGTAGGGGGTAGCGATCACTGCTTTTGGCTTAAGTTGTACATATGACTCACCCTCAAAGAGGAATCCACCAATATGTAAATACACTGAGACTTAACTGTCAAAGGCTCAACTGCAGGGTTGACAAGTGGAAGTGAGTCAGACTACAGTGAACCTAGCACCCACCTAGCACTTAAACATGGTCAATTCAAAGGCAGCCTCTCTTCCAAAGTGGGAGAAAAACACAAGAAGAAAAAGTAGTGGCAGTCAAAATAAAGTCAACTGCTACTGGAGACAAGAATGACTATGGATACGAAAGAAAAAGGTGTTTTAGCCAGAAGATGTTTCATTTTTAGTGGCTTATATATACATGGCATGAACAAATCCACCAAGTTCTACAAAAAGACAATCAGAAAAGGTTCTTTGTTAAAAACTGTTGTAAATTACTGGGATAACTGGAAAATTTTAAACATGGACTATATACTAGATATATAACATATTCATGTTAAAGAGAGCCAAGTGTGATAATTCTATTATAGTTACATGAGAATATACTTGTTCTTAGGTGACATGATGAAGTAGTAAGGGAAAAGTACCATGATGTCTGCAACTAACTTTCAAACGGTTCAGGAAAAATACAGATGAAGGGTTTAAGGGAATTCATTGTACTAATCCTGCAACTTTTCTAAAAATTTGAAATTACTCAAAATAAAAATATGGAAAATTAGTATTATGTAGTTTGGCCTGGCACTTACCAAAAATCTTAATCGGTTTGAAAAGGTCAGTCAACTGGTCTGTTTCATTTAATTATATTTTATGAAATTACATGCCAGTAACAGTGCAGCAGAAGAGCAAAGGCCTCGGATTCAGCCTTCAAACACCCATGGTGTACTGAACATAATATGCAGCACTATTTACTATCAAAAAGAGTCTACTAACTCATGGAATTGTCAACCATGGCTTTTGAGGCTTAATTCCCTCTAAACTGTTCAATTCATTCTTAGTTACAACACGAGTGTTCACACAAAGAGTGAACCCCACATCTTTACAGAAATGCCACCAATTGTGAACACAGACTGAGTATACCAAGAAATGAACACCTAAACAAAGGCTCTGGTGAAGTGCTGGGGATGACAAATGGAGAAGAGCAAAAAGGGAAATGCAATTTATCTCTCAGGATTATGAATAGTCTCTTTTATGTAATTCCTTATTTTAAAAAGAAAACTATTACTAAAAGAAACCTAGTCTATGAAAATGCTTACCTTGCCCATCTTCTTTGAACACCAGCTCTCTTTTTTCAGATTCATTCTCGTTCTTACCTCTGCGTCTGTTTTTACCTCCTTTACCTAGTGGATTTAAAGAAAATGACACTAATTATCTACAGAACAGTAGGAAAAGAAACGGAGGCTTACAAAACACTTAAAAAAATCACTTAAATTATGAGAAGTACACAATACTACATATAAAATAAATAAGCTACAAAGATATATTGTACAGCTCAGGGAATATAACCAGTATTTTACAGTAACTTTAAATGAAGTATAATCTAGAAAAATACTGAATGACTATGTCATACCCCTGAAACTAATATAATGTTGCAAATCAACTATACTTCAAAATAAACAACGAACCTGAAAAAAAAATCACTTAAAAATGCACCTAATTTAATCATGTATCTCCAATAATATTAAACACCTACATATTGTCACTTCCCTACACCTCTTGGAAATTCCTTCTGGGATATCACTGACATAAAATACAAACGAACCAAAAGGAGTTACTATATAAAAGTATATAGACCACCTTCTGAGGACATCTACATCCATGGCCACACTGCCCTGGATCATAAACATAATGACCACCCACTTGGCTGAGTACACTGCTCAGTGAACTCCTCCTACAGTGGCCCACACGGGTCAAGATGGGACATACGATAAATTTTATAAAAATGCCTGCTCCCCCAAATGAAAGGTCTGAGTGCAAATAGATGGTTGGAGGGAAAAAAAGCAAAGTTAGCGCTGTGGGACACACAGATTTTGTGGTGGTAGAGGGAGAGCAACAACGCCGGCGACCCCTAGAGTTTACATTTTGTCCCACAGCTGTAGGACACACGGAGCAAGTTAAAAAGCAAGGTACTAACTGCCTGAACTTGGAAGCAGCCAAGATGTCCTCAGTAAGTAAATGGAGAGAGTAAAGAGATCAGTAGTTGCCAAGAGCTGGGGAGTGCGGAAGGACAGGGGACTAGGTGGAGCACACGGGATTCCGACAGCAGCAAAGCTGTTACCCTGTGTGTTACTGTAATGGTGGATACACATCTCTATACATTTGTCAAAACCCATACAACGTACAACATAAAGAATGAATTTTAATATAAACTATGGACATAAGTTATAATGCATCTATAGTGGTTCATGTAAAATGTTAATAGAGGAAATGGGGGGGATTCTGTACTGTCTGCTCATTTTCCCATAAACATAAAACTGCTCTAAAAGTCTATTAAAAAAAACAGTAAAAAGCATGATACAATCCCTATTGTAACCCCTAGAATCAGCAAAATCCAGACTAGGTGGGGGGCGGGGGACACAGGGACAATTCTACAAGACAATCTGTTTTTTTCAATAGATACATTATGAAGGGAAAAAAAACCCTACAGATTAGATGAGACTTAAAAGACATATCAACCAATGGCAATGTGTAGACCATATCTGGAGCCTGGTTTCATGTGGATGGTGCAAGTTTAGCTGTGAACTGATGATGTCTGGGACCAGATGAGCACATGGACATCCATTATACCAGTCTGCTTCTGTATATATTCCAAATTCTTCATAATGTAAGTTTAAAAATAAACATAGCACGGTGAAGAAGAGTATAAAGCTACCATTGTGTAAAAAAGGTAAATTCATATTCACATTTGCTTGTATATACGTAAAATATCTCTGGAAGAGCACGTGTGAAAAGTTAACAATGACTGCCTGTGAGAAGGAGAAATAGTTAGCTACAGGACACATTTAGGAAACAGATTTCAAGCTATACTTTTTGAAACTTGAATTGTGCATTTTCCTATTCAAAAATCTTAAATACTTCAACAAAAGCAGCGGTGACCTGATTCTCTGGGTGGGAAAACAGATAAGGTGGTCACTGTCCTTATTACACATAGAATGAATCCCACCCAGCCTAACCATGAAGAGGAGGGACAAATAAGGAATATTTCGGAGATGGAAACAAGAGAACCATGACCTGATGTGGAGAGAGGGAGGAATAAAGGATACACGGAGCTTTCACAAAACCTCTCAGGACCTCAGTTCTGGCCTCTGTAAAATGAGGGAGTAAGAAGAGACTATCCAAGTAGCTTCATATTCTTTCTACATGTAGGATTCCGGAATTCTTCCATCCGCTGGTGTTCTTAAAAGTCTGTGCTGACCTCATTTTCCATACTTTAAAAAATTTTCTCTCACCTCTCTCTATTATGTTAATAATCTTATATCTCAGTCTGCAGTATCAACTAAGCATGGCTCTCTTTTTTCTAATATGAGGCTCTGTACATTTCTAGTGAATGGGCTACTCTCAGGAAAATTTTTCCTCAAAACTCAAATTACTTTCTTTTACAAAGCTGGTCCTTAATCAACATCCTTGTTTCTGTTAGTGGTAACATAACTTCCTTAAAGAATATAAATCTCTCAACCTATAAACACAACATCAATCTACCCCTCAATTCTTCTCTTCAACCACCGTACGTTTCAATCCAAGTACAGTTCTCACTGTCCCATAACTCGCCCTTAACAAGCTTATGCCTAAGAGATAGGCACTATTTTGTCTTTATTTCACAAGAGATAATGGTCTTTGAAAGGTTGAAAGACTTATTTGCGGCTATACCATGTGAAGTGAAACCTGGGATTTGAACTGGGCAGTAAGATCCCAGTGACTATGTGTGCTCTTCCCCACCATACAATAATGCCACAATTACCCTATGAGGTCATTTATCCCCAGTTTACCAGTGAGTTCACTAAAGCTCATAGAAGTAACTCACTTACCATTAGACAGTGAGTGGGGTGACCAGATCCAACCTAATCTTCTTTTGTTCCTGGCCCCCTACATTTGGGTACCTCTTCACAGCATTCTGCCCCCATTCCAGAACCTAAACCACATTAGCAGCCTTTTCCAGAAGGTGGGAGAAAGGCTTTAAGTGGTAGCGATACTAAGAGACTCATGGGAAGAGCCTGGAAGCAGCAAAAAAAAAGTTTTTTTAAAGGTTCACGTCCCCAACAGAATTTGCAAAGACAGACCCTTAATTTCGTGAGTCCTGTGCTCTGTCACGAGGGCAGTCTCACAATGGTATCGTGGGCCTCTACAATGTCCCGACCTGCCCAGAGCCCTTAGAGTTCAGGGTCTGCGGCATTCTTAGAGCACTCCAAAATGAACTTCCTAGGAAGAGAAAAGTGTCTTCTACTTCAAGCCACCAACCATGCCAAATCTTCAAAGCAGAGTGAAAGCCTCATTAGGGCAAGGATCACGTTTTGTTTCCTGAGTTACATACTTAGTTGGGCAATTCTTTGAATGAATCAGTCAAGAGCCGTCCATATATTCCTAAAGGAGTGGCAATTTTATAATTAAAGGGAGTAACTTCTTTAAGGCATGGGAGTACCTTACCTTAATTGCTTTTTTTTAACAGTTCGACTGCACATACCTAATCGCTCTTCATAGTGGGCCCAAGGATACCTTTTTTCCTGAGGTTAACAAATTGACAGAATTTAGAGAATTCTAGAGGAAATAGGCTGATAAGAATCAGTCCAAAGCAAAAGTCATTCAACATACAGTTCATGGCACCTTATATCCTTACGTGTGTAAACATCATGAAGATTATATTCACAGGGCTTCTGGCTTTTCCAATGAAGAAAATCAGAAAAATAAACAAGAATTTATTTCACATTAGTAAACCTCATCTCATAAAATTCAGGAGTCTTGAAAATTACTGTTCCTCTAAGTAAGATAACAACTAAAGATAAGAGATTGGGAATGATAAACACCAAATTCAGAATGGTGGTTATCTGCTAGAAAAGATGAAAAGAGGGGAAGGGGCTTGGGAGGGGGAACACAAAAGGCTTTAACTGATTCTGTTGTAATTCCCAAGTTCAGAGTAATGGATTGATTCCCAGGTGTTCACTGTATTATTCCTATTTTTTCGTATGCCTCAAATCTTATTTATAGAAGAATGATGTGTTGCTTGTCAGTTTACTAGAATTAACCATACTCTGATCATCCCCTTCCCTATTTTAGTGCCACGTAATGAAATAAACTTTAAAGGAGGCCAGTGAAATAGATGTAATTTAATGCAGAAGTTCAGTCAGTTCCCTTGGACCCAAAGGAGAACCTATTATTCACCTAAGGGTGGAGTCAACAGAGGGAAGATGACTTAATCCAACAAATATTTTTGAGCATCTACTAAGTGTCAAGAGCTAACAATCCATTGTGATTAAGACAGATACTACTGCCCTTTAGAGCTTACAGTCTAGGGAGGATGGAAATCTCATTGCTAGAAATAAGGGTTAAAGTAATATATCTATTGAACCGATCCAGTTACCATCTCAGAAGGAATAAAAAATTATGTAGGTTACAAGAAAACTGTAACTTTCAAACCCCTATTTTATCACCCCATCTTTCCCAGAATAATTAGCAGTAAAATCCTTGCTACAAAAGGAACCTGCAAGTAAGATTTCTGAGGGCAGTAAAATGGAGGGCTCCAAGGGAACAGCACAGAACTGCAACCAAATATCCCAAGGGTAAAAAGAGTAGTGACACCTGCTAAGAGGAAATGAGGTAGAATCCCTGCAGCCAGCTGTGAAGTAGAAAAAAGAACAGAGTAGGCCTGGGTCAGGGCAGGGTCTCAAGGATGAATAATCAAAGGAAACTCGTGGGTTGTGAAATATACACTTCTCCTATAGGAAATACAGTGTTTTCCCTGTTTCTACTTTCACAATTTCCTTTGGGAAACTGTAAGAATACTTAAAAGGACGGAAATATCCTTAAGTCTTAAAAAGGGAAAATCTCTTTAGGACTGTTCTGCTTTTACTTAGATTAGGCCTTCCATTTTGAAAATTCCAAATAAACATATCCTCATATCTAATAATTTGTGAATGCCTTAGCCTCAGCATGGAGGGAACTTAAAGGTCTTTACTCCCGTCGCAATACGTAAGCGATCTGGAGCAGAAGTAGAAAACTTGGCTAAATATGCAGTAAGTTTTCTGGGGCGAGGGAAAAAAGTTAAACCCCGTAAAGGGATGTGGAAGGGTAAATCTCTAGAGATTAACCTTAACGCATCAAGGTTTCGTCCACTACTTACAAGAGAGAGGGAGAAGTCTCAACAATACCCAACAACTGCCCATAAAGAAACCCATGCAGGAGTACCTGATGGCCACTTAAAGCAGGCAGCACCCTTTGAAAATTAAGAACTGCCGGGAAGGCCAAAGGCGCCCATTTGCGAAGCCCAGGCCGCCCCGGGGAGGTCTCCCCATAGGCAGCTACGGTGCCGTGGTCAGTCTGGCGCGAATCTGGAGCGAAAGCACACGTTCTCCCGCAGGAGGCCCTACAAAAATGGCGTCGGCTCCACCCCAACGTGACCAAACTGAAAGACAGGAGTAACTTCCCAGCTCCCCTCCCGAGCCAAGAATCGCGGCCGGATCGCCCAGCTGCATGCAAGCAGGGCGGAGAGGAAGGTCACTGCGGCCTGGGCGATCCGGAGGCCGCGGGCAGAGTTGGGGAGGCCCGGTTCAGGGGAGTCGTGGTCCCAGGATCCAGGCGGCATTACCTTTATTCTTGGGCATGGCGGTAACGGCGGCCTCGCGGCGTCTCCGACTCTTACTCGGGTGGCGGCAGCGGCGGCGACTCCTCCGAGGGACTGCGCGTGAGACAGCGCAGCACCAAGTGGGGCTGGAGACCGGTTCGCGTGCGCGGGATAGTCTAGCGACCGAGTTCTTCCGAGATCCGCCTGCGCCCACGCACGGCCGCAGCAAATGGCGTCGCGGCTGCTTGCGTAGCCTTTCCCCGCCTCCCGACGCCGGCTGGGCCCGCCCTCCGACCCCCGGCCCTATGACGCAGGCGTGTCCGACTGACGCCTATTGTTAGAGCGGAGGGAGACGCGCTTCCGCAGTTTTCACGGCAGTTCGCAGAACCACGCGGGGGGCGGGGCCGTGAGCAGAGAAAGGGCGGGATCAGGGAGGGAGAGGGCGGGCCCAGGCGTCACAATAAAGGCGGGTTCAGGTAGCGCCCGCTGCTGGCTGACAGCTGACTACTGCTGATTTGTGGCCAAGCGCCGTCTCCACGCTGTCTCATTAATCTCACAGCTCAGTTTTAACTTGGCCCCTTGACCCGCCCAGCCAGGTTGAGAGTCTCAGGGGAAGGGCAAGGTTTTCCTGTCATCCCCATTACCAAAGCGTAATATTTGCATGAGACCTGTTACTACTTTATAAACATCTGCCTTCCCTACCTTGCTGAAAATCTTATGAGGCAGAGACCACATCTGTTGCTTAATGTTACTAGCATTTAGCAGAATGTATGGCACATAGTAGGTGCTCAATACACACAGGAAGGGAGGGAGGGGAGAAGACAAACTCAGTGTTATGGGCTAAATTGTATCCTCCCAAAATTCATATATTGAATTCATAACCCCCAATACCTCAGAATGTGACTGTATTTGGAGACAGGGTCTTCAAAGAGGTAATTAAATTGAAATGAGATCACTAAGGAGGGCCCTCGTCCAATATAACTGGTGTCTTTATAAGCAGGGTTTAGGACACAGGCCAGAGGGGAGCACCACGTGAATAAGAAGGTGGCTAGCTACAAGCCCAGGAGAGAGACCTCAAAAGAAACCAACACTGCTGAGACCTTGATCTCAACTTGTAGCCTCCAGAATTATGAGAAAATAGCTATTTGTTGTTTAGCCACCCAGTCTGTGGTTTTTTGTTGTAATAGCCCTAGCAAACTAATACAGCTGACTCTGCAGGATAAATAGATTCACTATTAAGTAAGCTTATTTTAATTAAATAAATCACCTTTCTGCAAACATTAGCATTTTAACATTTTCTCTCTAGGGAAATGGACATACCTAAGTGATAGAAAGATAAAGTACAATTGTTGAACACAGTGGTTCTTTACCAGGGACATTTGATAGTGTCTGGAGATATTTCTGGTTGTCACAACTGGGGAAAGAGAGCTGCGCTACTGGCATCTAGTGGACAGAGGCCAGGAATGCTGCTAAACACTTTGCAGTGCACACTACAGGCCCCCCACCCCTAAACAAAGCATTATCCAGCCTAAAACATTAATAGAGGTGAGGATGAGAAACCAACGAATGGCAGGTGCACTTTTTAGAGGGAAACTGAAAGATCTGGGTTTCTCTTTCCATTTGCAATATTTTCCAATTTACACAATTGAGGATGAAATGATGTCTATAAAATTTATTTAAATTTTGCTTCAAGGCCACATGATTATGAACTTGGACTTTGGAATTAGAGAGACCTGGATTCAGATTCAGATCTGCTGCAATTTATTACTCTATAATCTTGGATAAGTTATTTAACCTATTTCTAAGGGTGAGTTTTCTCATCTTTAAATTGGGTGTGAGAACAGTACTTACCATATTGGATTGTTGTGGAAATTAAATTGATATAATGCATTCAAGTGTTTAGCCATTGTGCCCAGCACATGGTAAGTAATCAGTTAGACTCCAAGTGTCTTTAAGCTCAAATATTTGAAAATCAATAGCCTCTGTCAGTTACTCAATATAAAACTCCAAAGGAGAAAAAAAAATCAGGCTTCATTTCTCTGTTATAGGATGGTTGCCACATCTGACTGATCATCAGAATCACTTGGAAGGAGGTGAGTCATAAGGACATCTGGGGGAAATATGTACTAGGCAAAGGGAACAGCAAGGACAAAGACCCTGAGTGGGAACATGCTTGGCATATTCAAGAAACAGCAAAATGGCCCAGGTGGCTAGAATGCAATGAACTAGAGGGTGTTTGGGGAGATGAGATCAGAGAGGTAGGGAGACCAGATCACTTGTTACAATCCTTAGTAGGCTTGGAACAGATCATTTTGGCTTCTGTGTTAAGAATAGACTGTAGAGGAGCAAGGGAGGAAACAGATACCATGCAGGAGGCTACTGCAATTGTCCAAGCAAAAGACAATGGCAGCTTGGATTAGGGTACAAAGTTTCTTTGTGGGATGATGAGAATGTTCTAAAATTGGATTATGATTGTAGTCATAGGACTCTGTAAATATACTAAAAAACTGAATTGTACACTTTAAATGGGTGAACTTTATCTTATGTAAATTATATCTCAATAAAGCTGTTTAAAAGAAAGAAATGGGAAAATGGATCTGATGAAGGAAAAACAAAAGAATTGACAAACAATACTAAGAGCTTAGCTGAGGTTAGAAAACATAAATTTGCAGTGGCTTTTTTTTTCATAATTGTATGGTTTCTTCCAACATATCGGTTACACTGCTTACACAGATGCAGTGTAAAGGCAGGGATGTAAGGAAGTTCAGGGTGTTTCTGAAAATTTCAGGTGATCAACTATAGGGCTATGAGGTTCAGTCTGTGAAATAAAGAATGAGGACAGGGTTGGGGGAGGGTGGCGGGAACCAAAGGGATAAAATTCAGATTCCTTAATATGACTTATATCTGGCCCCTGTGAATTTGGAAGGAGACATGATTCAGCCCAAAACAGGGTGAAGTCCTAACCTCAACTATCTAGGAGTTAAGGTCTTTAAAGATGTAACTGAGTTAAAATGAGGCTGTTAGGGTGGAGCGCTAATGCAATATAACTGGTGTCCTTGTAAGAAAAGGAACAGGCATCCAGGTGGGGCATCACAAGGGCGACCACCTACAAGCCAAGGAGAGAGGCCTCAGAAGAACCCAGCCAGACCAGCACCCTTGATCTTGGACTTCTAGAGTCCGGAACTGTGAGAAAATGATTTCTGTTGTTTAAGATACACACTCTGGGGTATTTTGTTATGACAAACACATTATCATAATATAAAACTACCAAAAGTGTCAACTAGGAAGGAAAAGGCTGACTGCAGGCCTACAGCCATTCCCTCTGTACCAGAAATCAATGACCTCAATCAAATCTCCTTTTAAAAAGTGCTGATATTAGCAGAAAGAAAACAAAAAGTTCTTTTCTCTAATATACTTTTAGCAAGACACACTTCGTCTATAGAGATAGCTTATTGTAAAACCTGGAATTTATGGATTTATGAGGCATGGCTGGCTGGAGAATGGGGGCTCGTTGTTTAAACTGTGTAATTAATGAAGTATAAAAAGAGGAAGTTGCAAAACCAAGTGACTGCTTTTCTGTAAACAATGTCTCCACATACATTGCTCAGAAGGAAACTGTCCTTTAATTCTGAAATGTACCGTAATGAAGGGAAAAAAGGGGCATTTTGGAGCGAAGTCCGATAATCTTGGACTTCTCCAAGAAAAGATTGTTTCATCTGTGCCTGGTGATTACCCTGTATCCTTTAAATCATTAATCAAGTTTGATATTGGGTAAGAGCTATGACTGATGTGCGTCAGATCTATGCATCTGATTTGACAAACTCTCTGGGCTAACCAAGACTTTGCATCGAAAAATTATTTTGCACTTAACTCAGAAACATTCCTGTTTTAAGTTCTATCAATCCAACTTGATAAATTTATACTTCGGATAGAACAATTGGATGATATGAAGGATTGATCATCATATAACTGAAATAATCTCATGAAGGGACATACATGCGTTTATTTGAAACTTTATTATATAAATTTTCATTTCTTTTAAAGATTACAAAACCTGTTCTGTGACAGGAATACAAGCAATTTTGTTCCAGGATTATTCATGGATACATCTGAAAGAGCTTAGATTACACATTAATAGTATGATTTGAAAACTGCCCAGATTAGACTCTGAAGTAAAACAATTTAAAGTATTCAGTGATATTTAATCCTTTACAAGCACTTCATAATTATGGCAGCAGTGCCAAGCATCTGATGCGATTTAACCACCAATAAAAGGTACAATACGTATGAACTCATGATACGGTGCCTTGGGCTTCTGGCATGCCTTACTAGAGAGAAACTAGTATAAAGTAAGATCATATATCATAGTAGAAAAATATTTGTGATTTTTTTTCTTTTTTAAAAACCGTTTAAGTAGATACCCACCCCTCTCCCACCCATGGCCAAAAATGCAAAATAATTACATCCCTTAGGTGTATACCTTCCCTTTTGCTTAGGGTCAGAGTTAAGATAAACATAATACATGGACATAATTTGAAGAGTTAAAAACTCATCACCCACAATTATTAAGGATGCTAAGGAATGGCAATACCTTGAAGCTTTTTTTTAAAAATTGAAAAACAAAGTCTTAGATGGTAAACTACACTTAGAGAAACACAAACCAAACCCTTTATCCTTATGCCCTTGCTTTGTATTTAAAAGTTCTACTTTAAGTACTTGTTTGAAAAACTCAGTATACAGTTCATTCAGTACTATAGTGATAATAGGAGTAAAGATTTTCACTTCCATTAGATATTGAACTAATCTACTTAGGACTATTATAGTGACTCTCTTCTCACATACGTTTATATATGGTATGTGCTCTAAAGAGGTTTTCTTGAGGTTTGCACCTCTGAACCTAGTCTCTAATTTACCGTTCCACTAATCTCTATTCAATGTCATATACTTTGTTAGTTGCTCTGGGAGAAGTCATGGACATTTAAACAGCTTATCATGCACTTCAAGGTTATATGGCAAAATAATGAGGAAAGTGCCTTAAGAGGTAGGAAGTAGGCTCTCATCCCAACCCTTGGTATGCCCTGTTATGAACAGTTAAAAGACTGGAATCAAAGTGGTAAATGTGAGACTGATAGTAAAGAAGGCTTAAGAAAATGAAGTCGACTTAGTTACTAGAATTCTTTGAGAACACTCAGTCACATTGGAACCAGTTACAAGTCACTCGATCACACAGAATACAGCAGTGTCAAAAATACATAAAGC